ATGGTAGTCGTTGAACTGAAGTTCGGCAAAAGGAAATATGATTGTGGCTATCCTGTTGAGGAGTAGTGGGTATTTGGAACTGTGGAAAGAGGGTCTGGGAGATTATTTTTAATGGCAGTGCATGATAGAAGTAAGGATTTGTAATTTTATTTATTTGTGAACCATAGTACAAATTTTCTGGATAGTGTGTCTGGCTGTCATGTAAATACGATAGTGATTATGTGGCGGCTTAATTCATGGTAAGTGCATTTTATTTTATCCTTGTTCTTATTTTGTAGAATGTTATGTTCATTGGTTCTTTAGTATGAATTTCTGTCGTTATTATTGTTTTTTTAAATTGTTTGAAATTTATTTTAGTTTATTTTGTTGTTTAGTGTCTAGACTGGACAATTCATAGATGTTTCTTAAAGTTGAAACAGAACGTTGTGTATATGGTATTATTTGAAATTTATTGTTGTTATGTTATTTTATTAAAGCGAGGAGTGCGTAGATCGTAGATTCCTTCCTTGCCTAAATTGTGCAATTCGTAGAATTTTTTTTAAGTTTAAACAGAATGCTGTGTACATGGTATTCTTTGAAATTTAGGTTTAATCCTAGTATCCGGTGCACACGGGATTTGGCTACTTTTGGCGACTTTTATGATGAGCAGTAAAAACGGGACATATACGATGAGTAGTAAACGGGTATTCAAAGAATATAATATAGTTATACATAGTATATACTATGTATATAGTGTATAGTATATACATAGACGTTCTTTGGGTCATTTTTGGTGTTGGCGATAATTTTCAAAATCGCGCCAAGGCTGCACCGTATACTAGGATTTTAGCGAAATTTATTGTTGTTATGTTAATTTATTAAAGCGAGGTCTGCGTAGTTTGTAGATTCGTTCGTTGCCTACATTGTGCAATTCGTAGATGTTAAGTTAAAACATGTCGCTGTGTACAGGGATTCTTGTCAAATATTTTTGGTTAGAAACTTTACGTTTTTGCTATCTAAATTTTTTGTTTTTGTTTCGGATTTTTAGCTAAATTGGTGTTCAAAACATAGTTTTTTGCATGTGCGAAAAACCCGCGTTTTTGGAGACATTTTAGGCTAAAATTCAAAATGTAGACAAAAATTTAGATAGTAATATGGCAGCGTGAAGTTTCTCGCCAAAAATATTTGGCAAGAATTTGGCGACTTGAGGGCGCATATCGGAGAGTAGTCCGGAAATTTAAAAAAAAAAGGTTTTTCTGTCTTCAAAAAGACAAGAAAACCTATATTTTATTATATATTATAACAAGGAATTTTCACACATGAAATCATGGAAAAACACTGAAATATATACAATATGTACAGAAAATAAAGTCATGCTCACGTTGGAAAACTGTTGTTCAAGAAATGGGCCACAAAAGCTCACAGGTGAGTATCATGTAGTTAAAAAGATTTAAAGTTAGGTCAGAGGTGTTTAAATGTTCTCAGTTAAGTGCTTCTCTGTAGAAGTTTGCATTAATTTTATCTAGAAAATTTTCTTAAGTATCAATCTATAAGTCTTCATGCAATTGGTGATTACACACAACAATTGCATGAAGTTAGTACATATTTGTAAATATTTGAGTTTTTTTTAGTGTCTTGATGTCTTTTTTTTTAGCCAGGTGATGCTTATAATAAAATTGAATGAATTATGACACTGCAAATCAAATGTTTTTTCCTAAGATTAAGATATGAATATTTTTTAATAATGAGAAAAAGAATGTTAACTTTCTTTCCTACTTTATTTTTTATTGTATTAATATGATATTTCCATTTCAAGGTGTTCTTAATAGTCACTCTTAAGTATTTTTCTCTCTGTACTTGTGGCACAAGTTCATAAAATAATTTTAATTTCACTTTGGGTGGAGTACTGACACAATACCTTCTAATAGACAAAAATTGGGACTTTTGTGCATTTATTGGTATGTGCCATTTTTGATTAAAGAAGGGAACACAAGGGAGAAAAATAGGTAAACATAGTAGCTATGGGAAGGGGCAAAATAAATGGGGCTAGATCGCTGATCCAGGATCATGATACCCATCTCACCAAGAAGATGATCCCCTAAATGGCCAGGATGTCTTAGTATTAAGACACCCCGTACTTACAAAAAATGAGCCCCTGAGGGCTTATTCATATGAAGAGATTGATATAACATTAAGTTACCATCTAAAGAGCCTTGAGATAATCTTATCTGTTCCAAATCTACTAGTTCCAATTTGGTGAATCTATTTATAGTCGAGAAATCAGTGAATCTATCTATAGTTGAGAACTGGTGCCTAACCAAAGCCAGCCAATAGAAGGAAGGAATCTATGCTCCACTTAAGGCCGTACTCGATGGTATCCCTTCCACACATGGGTAGATTTATTCCCTAATACAGAAGCTACTGGCAACCTTTTATATCTGTTTAACAAAACTCATTAATATTTAGCTCTTATGTTACTCTTGAAAGCAGACATGTAAAAAACCCAAGTCTGAAAGATGTTGAAAATAAGAAAAGAACTCTTAGAGACCTGGAAGATATTGTAAATTTGGGTCTTTAATACAAATGTCTGGAGAATTGTTCTACTTCAACTGAAAAATTAAAAGTTTTCTCTGATGCTAATTACACAGGTGATAAATAGAGAAATGTACAGAAGCATTAATGGATATGTGATTTTATATAAAGAAAGGTCCTGTGAGTTGGAGTAGGAGAAAATAAGGAAGAGTTGCTTTGTCAACTATAAAAGCCGAGTATGTAGTGAAAGCAGACTGCGCTTAAAAAGCTTTTATATTTGAAATTTTTTCTGAAAGAATTAATATGCCTGTTATAATGAATTTAAAAATTGATAATCAAAATGCAATTAAATTGATTAAAAATGGAATTTTTAGTAGAAGTAAGGTATTATTTTTTGTTAGAAAGAGTTAAAGATGATAATATTAATTTAGTTTTTATAACTTCTAACATTAACATAGAATATATTTTGATAAAACCATTAGATAAATTTAAGTTTAATAAATTTAAGACATTTAGTACATCAAATCTTTCACAAATTCAGTAATAAATATTTTTTGAAAAGAATGCATAAAATAAAATCAGAAAAAACAGTAAATTTGATTCGACTTTTTGAAGTAAGTGAAATAAAAATTAAAGGAAGGTGTTGAAGGGTCATTTATTTAATTATTTATGTAAAATTGAGTGGCAACAGTTAAATTTTTTAAATGAAATCAAGGACAAATATTCTTATGTAAAATGTTTAAGTCCAGTAATATGGTGATCCTGCAAATAAAATATAAAAAAATAAATATGCCATTTGTAATAAAACAAAATTTTTCAACATTTCTCTACAGGAAATATGAAATCCTATATATATGAGTATGGCACTAATCTTATCAGGAAGGGGGAAAGGGAAAATACAGATGGTAATTACAAGGTGAGTAGCAAACACCTGAGAAATTTAGCGACCTGGAATTTATTCTAATAATTTCACAGTCAAGGATTTACATTAACATTTTAGTGTAGATGCATACTAGAAACAAAGCACCAGCAAAAAAAATTCACATGTAACTAAATAAAAAAAAATATATTGTACATTTCTCATTGAAATTCATACTTACAAACCAATCAAAATCTAGAAACACATTTGACAATAACATTATTTTAGATCATGCTTAATATTTTATCAATAATGTCTTTATACTTTATACTGTACAAACATAAATTTTGGGCTAAAGTGCAGAATCGCCCACTTATTTGTTTGGCGCTTTTACAAGAGCAAGAAGAATGGGATTTTTGACAATTTTCTTTGACTTTTTAAGTGAAAATAGGTGAATGTGTACATGGATAAAGTCAAGAGTGTGCGCAATGCCATTTTTGTGCAATTCTGGGATTTTTTTTTAAAGTGAAAATAGGTCAATGTGTACATGGATACCGTGTATATAAGCAATTCTTAAAAACGGGCGATTCTGCACTTTCTCCCAATTTCGCACCTAATCTTCGTCATGATTAAGCACTTTTGTTCCATAAAAGTTCTAGCATAAGCGTAATTCGGCTAGCAGATAGTTGGAAAAAATGTTGAGTTAAAAAAAAAAATGCCTTTACTTCGTGAAAACAAAATGGCATCCAAAAAAATAACTAGGAAGTTGCTGTAGCAGGGTTGGTCGCCAAATTTTCGCCAAGTTACTAAAATCCGAAGATTCACCTTCGCTTTCTCCAACCTTCAGGGTCAGAACTAAACACTGAATTTTCATGATTGCCATTATGGAAAACCTTTTACCAAAATGGCATTCTAAAGACTAACAGCACTATTTTACACTAAATAGAAATAGCTTTTTATTTTAGAAGAGGCGATTCTAGATCCAGTTTCACATTTTCTTCCAAAATGAAGCATTTTGCAAAAAACTTACAAAAATTGCTCTCCAAAAATACAAAATTCCCACTCTTAATGGAAATCAATTTTGATTAAATGTAGCGTTAAAAATAATTTGGTTTTCAAGAAACAATATTTTAAAATTTGACTTTCAAACAAATAATATTTTAAACCATGTTACAAAATTATATCTAAGACTCAAAAAGAAAAGAAACAAAACATAAATTTGGAAATTATATCTTTATTTTTCTATCGTTTAAAATACACCCAAAAAAGTATACACGTAAAATATTATTTTACATCATTACTGACAATGTTATAGAAACAAGATGATTTTACTGTGCTTTAAGCAGAGATACCTGCATCAATATGGTTTAATATGTCTCTGAGTAATCTATATCACCAATGAAAATGATTTTCAATCAAAAGGTCAAAAGGTTTCAATCAAAATTAACTTCAGATGAAACAACCAAATGAATTTAAAATTATAAGTGTACAGTAATTTATAACGAAATGACATCTAACAGAAAAAAATAAATTTCATTACATATGAACGCGACTATTGCGAAAAATCACGTCCAACTAAAGAGAAAATGAATATGCAGATAACTGAATAAATTATATAACGAAGAATTACCTCTTTTTTAACCATCCGTAATAACTTTTCTCTATATTCTTTCTCTGAAATATACGTATTGATATATGATAAGCATAGGCATATTTTACATAAATACAAATGAAACAGGAATAATTATACTAAATTAAATATACAAAGCATTCGCTAATTTCACCTACCTGAGGCATTTTGATCCCCCATGTAGAAATTATGAAGGACTGATAAATTTACACCAAAAAAAAGTTTGACTACCGGCTGTCAGAAACTATGTCTGGTTGTGCTAAAATACTCTGTTGTTGCCAAACAGAATATCTTCAGGATTTTAACCCGTAAGAACTCCCGATCTTGCTCCCGATGATATACGAGGTTGAAGTACTCTTTATTTGAGAATTTTAAGCTGAATGACTCATATTGCTGGATCTTTAATGGCAGAAAACTCAATAAGAAAAATTCCTATAGTACAAATAGTAAAGGGACGAAAGTTAATTTATATTACATCAAGTTTCTTTGAGGAAATGAAGCTTCCCTTATGTCGAACAGAATAGAACAATGTAAAATTGGAAAGAGAATTTTTCTCTGAAGTTACAGATTGGAAATTTACTTTTTAGCTGTGGTTACGGCATATCACAAAATCACATTGCATTGCTTTTCGCACAGTTATTCGATTTATTCCCAAACAAATGAATAATTTTTTTTAAAAAAGAAGAAATTAAACAAAGTGACCGCGAGTATCATTGCGAGTGCATTGGAACGTCTATAGAAAAGTGCTTTATTATTATAATTATTATTCATGGTAAGTGAATTCCAAAATTTATAAGAGGAAAACCTTCTATAGACTTAGTTATCAATACCAATGTCTCAATAAGGATTTTTTTATAAACTGCGTAGGGATCCTAGGAATTTATTATAACACAATAGCACTTATATTATGGGGTAAAAAAAGTTACTTTATTATAAGAAAACTATTTTTTTTAGAAATAGGAATAGACGCCTTTCTTCCTCCATGTCAATAGCTACGGAATGAGTGATCCTCAGTAATTCTCTCACATGGGCCGTACACATTACATATATTATTAGAAGTTTCGAGCACACATAGATTTTCTTTAGCTCAACTTTTCGAACTCTTCGAAGCAGACTTGAAACAGCATTCTATCTATTGACAACAAGATACTCATTTACAAATCCATCTTGTGTCCAATATTATATTATGCATGCCCTGCATGGGCTTACTCTTATCGTACTAACAGAAAGAAACTCCAAACCAAAGAATGTCTATGTGATGAACAATACATATTCTTTGCCCAAATGGCACAGCACTGCGTTCTGTGGTAGATAACGGATTCACCATGGTACGTACGTAACAACAGACTTCGCCAGGAACTGAAAGTCGAACTACTGAGCCTGTTACTACCGGCTTGCCCAAAACTTTCGTGAAAATCAAAAATTGATAGATGATCCTGTTATCAAAATCTGTCACTACGATGTCAACGACCCTCTGAAATCTTAGAGACCAATGTCTATTCTAAACACGAATAATGATTAATTACTTTTTGTTATTTTATCTGCTAATTATGTATATTTCCATTGTAACGTGTTCATAACACACAGCAAATCATAATTGCCTAGAAATTCAGCCAGCCATTTAGGATATTCCAAAAGAAAAAAAAATGAAGTGTACATATAATAATAACAAATTCAATATAGGAATATAGGAGAAAAACCTGAGTTTAGATCGAGCATGACAAATAAGACCCTATCAGATAGGAATACCGACGACATGAAAACAGTTATTAATCTAAGCGAAAAAACTAATAATTTTGTGAAAGAGCTACAAAACAAAGTTACAGAAATATTCTCTATATTAGAACTATTTCATATAAGAAAAGTAAACGTAACTTCAGCTTTTTTGATGTTCTAGAAGACCTTGCCGTCATTTTTGAAGTAGTTAAATTTATATGAAAAATACAAAGACTAGGAAAACTATCCTTAATACAATTATTAAACAAAACTAGGCTTTGTTTGGTCGATCTTAAACATGGGAAGTGTCAATGAAAAAAATTCTCAGTCTTCTGACAATCACTGATGAACTTAATTAATTCTCTGATTGCTATTTTATTTTCGTGTGGCAGAAATTAACATAATATTCTAACTGTTGTCTGAGAAAATTTTCATAATTACTGCTGTGAAGAGATTTTTATTATCTTCCTTAAAACTTTCAGCTATTCATCTTTCGTCTTAGTCTAGGAATAAAATGTCTCTAGGATATTTATGTCTTTAATTTTTTTATTGCTTATTTATTTATTACCACACTATATATTTCAGATTATTGTAAAAAATAGCAAATTTGTTGATTTAAAAATATTTTCATTGTTAGTATGCATAAATGTTTTTCGTAAGAAATTTATTTTTTCTCCCTCTTCCCTAATTTCTGTATTTATAATAAACCAAAACAAAAATTAAAGTTTGTCCATTATGACAGCTCCCTCTGTGGAGCTTTTGACGTGTTGTAATACGTGCAGACTTAAATTTTGTGTATATCAGGGAAGGGTTTTATCTACCTAGATTCTGAGCGCAGTCGGCTGATATGTCTTGAGTGTTATGTGTAATTGAGTGGGTGTTGCCTTAGTTTATGTACTTTAAATAATTTTGAATTAGGAACTATTAGAAAAATCAAAATTTCGATCATTAGTTGCATAGAATCATTATCTACGTTCTGTTAAACATGGTAAGTTTGAGGATGTGGATTGCTGCATCCGGCCTTTAAAAGTATTGCAGTGTTTTTGTCGCTGCATTAATATTGCTGTGTGATATAAAAGTTTCAAAACGTTCTTCCTTTTTAAATGTGTCTCAAGTGTCTGTGAGATTGAGGTAATATATATGTACCTTTCCACTAATTCATTTCTCCTGACGTAAGCCTATAGCTTTTTCTGCTAATAATGATCCTCCTCTAATAGATATATAAGCAATAAATGGATTTGCATGAATTCATTTGATTTATAATACATAAAGAGACAAGAGTTTGAACTCTTACTTTATGCATGAGCAATGCCTAACCGAGTTTTAATAAATTATGTAACATATATATTCATTTGTTTCTTGTTTGTTTTGAGAGAATTATTGTTATTGATATCTAAACAATTTGAGTGCAAAATTCAATTTTTATTAGCATGAAGTTGTTTTTACACGTTTGTTTTCATATTCCGAAGATGTCAAATTATATTATAATGGATATTACTAATGTGTTACCTTCAAGAAATTCATTTTTATTTATCTGCCTTATCAATGCAAAGCAGTAGTATTTCTTTTCTCTAAAAAAAAAATTAAAATATTCCTAAAGATCGTATATCCTACAGTTTTGTATATAAAAAACATCTTTGTAATGAATGTTTTTCAAATTTTATTTTGAATTAAATGATGTAGAACTTTGATTGTCCGTTAGTGTCTGATCTATTGCTATGATGCTCAAAAGAAGATCTCTTTTTAGCATTGTGCATTTTACAGTATAGATAAAAATCTAGATTATAATTGGGATGATTTCATTACAGCTTATGAGCTTGATTATTATTATTCACAGTAAAAATGTAATGTTTAAAATGATTTGAAAAAAAATTGTTTGGCCATAGCATCAAATATCAGGTATCTTCAACCTGACTCATGTTATCAACCCTACTGTGCTTCATTTACTATTATTATTATTATTTTATTGTTGCATCTGGATTTTTTAAAAATAATTTCATATATATATATATGATACTTCTGAAACTGCCTGTTAAATTTTTTATCAAACGTGTGATGTCTGATGTTTACTAAAATTGCAAAGATTTTTCTTGTTACCCTGTTTCTTGTCTTTGTAGTGTACTTGGTAGTATAAGTGGTAGTGCATGCATACATTATTCATATTTAGAATTCAAATCCTGGTAAGGCAGTTGATTTCTAACATTTCTGTTTTAAAAATTCTGATACGTTCTACAAACTTCCATAGGATTAAACTGTGATTGCTCAATATTTTTTAATAAAATCAATTTGCATATTTTTTATTTCACATTTTAATCTACACACTGATTCTCGAACTTTATGTAAATATATGAAATTTAATCGACAACCAACCCTATCTATTGAATGAAACATGATAATGTATTTCCTTAAGTGTAATTTGGTATCATTTGTGTACTATTTGAAATATTTCCATAACTGTTTTGTAGATCAAATATTGTATCATTATTGTAATTATCTGGCAGCATTTATAATCAGAGATTTAATAATTCTTTGTTAAAAAAGGGGTCAATTTTTTAAAAAAATTTTTATGTTCCTGGACATTTATATAAGACAACCATATCTGTGTTCCTTGGGTACAAATTTAAATCTTGTCTATACGAATAAGTATGTGAATTTTCAATGGCTAATTATATTTTTACCTGTACTGAATTTATAAATAAATGTTCACAATATGTTATTTGCATTCCCCCCTTTTTTGGAATGATTTTATTTGTGCCTTTTTCTTTTTGAAAACTGAATTCAGTATCAGATTTAAATGTGTTCTTGCTGGCTTAAATTTATTTAAATTTATTCTTTCATATTCCAAAGATAATATATTTCATATTCCAAAGATAAATTATATTATAATGGATAAAAGAAACTTCACTTGTTTATGCATACATTATTGTAAACACTGATTGCTCTGTAAAGAACCATATAAGTATTCTGAGTATGTGCATTCTTATGAAAAGTTTTCTAGCTTATTTGGTAGCTTTGAGAATTGGCAAAAAACATTTGTTTGGCTAGCTTAACAGCTTGTAGCAACTATCATAACCACATCTGAAATCAATAAATTTCTGGAAATTGTCTATTTTTTTAACAAATAGGATATGAAAGAAGTTTGCATTTTTAGATGAATTGTGTGTGAAAAATCATTCTTGTGTCAAAAATAATGTATATGTGCAGAGCAGTGGATTTCACCCTTTTGTAGATCATGCTCCCTCCTTTCCCAAACTTGAAAAATATGTATATACATTTATTTAGATTATATTTAATGTCTTTTATACATTAAGCAAGAAAATATAGAAAATGTTGGTATTTACCAAAACTTTAATAAAAAGTAATTTTTGACAATCGTATGTAGAGACATTAGGATTTTTTTGGAGGCCGGAGAGATGAAAAATTAGCAACCGCCTTCGCCGGGAATCGAACCACGGACCTTTGGAATACAGGCACAGCATGCAGAACCACTACACCACGAAGGCACGCTAGGAAAGTGGGAGAAATATCTTGTATAGTCCCCTTTTTAAAGGGCGACTGGGGTTTTCAGGGGACCCAATCGCCAAATCCTGGATGTGAAGAAACCTTATCAAACACGCTTTTAGTTTGGGCCCCACTGTAGAGACATTAGGATTTTTTTTGGAGGCCAGACAAATGAAAAATTAGCAACTGCCTTCACCGGGAATCGAACCACGGACCTCTGGAATACCGGCCCAGCGTGCAGAACCACTACACCATGAAGGCACGCTAGGCAAGCAGGAGAAATACCTTATACATGAACTAAAATACCTAACAGTTATATAAAAGGCTGACTGCATCCCCCCTTCTCGAAACTATGAAAACTAGGAGAATTACCAGTAAAAGTTTACAATTGGGTGCCCCTTGTTTTTTGGCGATTCTTTTTTGACGCCAAGATCGGCACCAGGAAGACACAATTTCAAGATGCCCGCTACACAAAACCAAAATAAGAAGTTAAAGAATTGCATAAACTCTGTGTCCATGTACACATCGATCTGTTTTCACTTAAAAAAACATCCCAGAATTGCACAAACTAGGCATTGCGCACTGCTTTAAATTTGACCATGTACACATCAATCTACTTTATTTAAAAAAAAAAAATCAGGAGGCTAAAGCAAAGTTAAACTATCATGGTAACCAGAAATGAGATTTCATCGCCAAAATTTTTCAAAAAATTGTCGCTAATCAAAGGGGCACCCAATTGTACACTAGAGCCAAATTACCACTTGGTTGAGAACCCCTAGTTTAGAGTGATAAAAATTAGTTATCCCTGCATTGTTGGCTTTTTGTGCACATGTAAGCTTGAGTAGTAATCTTATTTTACAAAATACCTCTATAATGTTTGCTTTTTTTTAACACGTGCAAGTCCATTTTATTTACATAGCTTTACTTTTCATATTTATTGCGATCCTGGAAATTTTATCTTGTATGGTCTATCAGAAAACAAAGAACGGCACAGGAAATATATTTTAAAATAAGGAAAAAAATAAAAATGAAAACATGCAAATTACACTAATAGAACTTGAAAGTTATTTTATGTGCTTTTAAGTTATTTTATGTGCAATGAGATTTTAAAACTTTTTTAATTTGTAATAAAATTCACGAGTGAAAACATGTAGCAGTTAGCAGATGTCACACATTGTATCTGTAAAAAAACAGAATTTTTTTGGGGTACTACTGAATTTTCATGGGCTCCATTATCAAGATAGTTTCTACAGAATTTGGTTATTCAGGAAGTATAACTTCACAGAATACAAGTTTTAACTTTTTGTTGTTATGCAAAATACCATTTTCTTGAAGCAATGTAATGCTTTCTTTTTCATCAATCAGTAAACTTGACAGTCGTTTTGCAATTTATTATGGCAAAAGAAAAAAAAAAAAAAAAAGTATCTGGTTTCTGATCTGTAAAATGATAATTAAATTTAAAAAATGTAAATCCACTTGTATTCTATAATGTGCATGGTACAATCATGCATAAGTGTCAGCTGTGTTGTTTGCATATTTGTAAATATGTCAAAAACTGACAGTTCTACTGAGTATTAAAACTAAGAAAGAGGGCAGTCAGAATGTGCTAAATGTGTTTTTAATACTCTATTAAGAAATTAAATTTTTCATTCTTTTATGAAATTACTAGTATGGTAGTTCATGTTCTTTACAAAAAAGCAGCAGCATTTGGATTCATTACATTTGATTTATGAAAATTGAATGCAGTACAATTTACTGAATTTATAAATCTCTCATTAGTAATTATATTAAAATATCATAAATATATTCACGTATGTAATTTTGCAGCATACATATTAAAGTGTTACTGAGTTTAGTCACCAAAATAAGCAAGCTTCATACAATCTGTGGGTGAAGTGCAGAATCGCCCACTTATTTGTTTGGCGCTTTTTACAAGAGTAAAACGAATTGAATTTTTGTTAATTTTCTTTGACTAAGTGAAAATAGGTTGATGTGTATAAGAATGCAGTCAATTCTGGGATGTTTTTGTAAGTGAAAATAGGTCGATGTTAAAATGGATACCGAGTTTGTGCAATTCTTAAAAAGGCGCCAAGCAGTGGGTGATTCTGCACTTTCCCCTAATCTGTAATGCACAAATTTTAAATTCTGATGTGGTGACTGCTTTAATGAGGTAGTAGTACCAAACACGTTAAATGTTAATAAGAATATTTTATTGAGATAAATGTGAAATGAAAACTTTATATACTTTATTTTAAGCAGTGATATTTTATATGTAGTATATCTTATATACTTTATTCTAAAGTAGTCATGTTTTTCCTTGAATAAAAATATGATGGCATAATTTCATGCTTTAAATATATATCACCTTTTTACAACCTAATAAACTTTTCCAGACTGAGCAACAGCTAGACTGTGCTTTGGATTTGATGCGAAGACTCCCTCCACAGCAAATAGAAAAGAATTTAAGTGATCTTATTGACTTGGTAATATGTTAGTTAGTTAGTTGGACTAGCTTTTTACATGCTTGTTGTAAAAAAAAAAAAAAAAAAAAAATTATAATTTTATTTCAAATATTTCCTTTTGTGTATTAAATAGGTTCCGAGTCTTTGCGAAGATTTATTATCATCAGTTGATCAGCCTTTGAAGATTGCCCGTGATAAAAATGTTGGCAAAGATTATTTGTTATGCGATTACAATCGAGATGGTGACTCGTACAGGTTAGTGTATTTATGGATAGTAATTTAGAACGTTTTCATCAAATCATTCCTATTTTCCGTATTTTCTTCAATGGTTATTTTTTATGGTGTTTGAAAAAGTAATAGTTTTTTTTACACATGATAGCAAATTCTGATTCAGTCATATAGACTTGTATTACCTCAAGATATGGTATTAGGTCATTTAATCAATCTTGCAGAATATTTTTAATGTATTAGTGTATTTTAATATGAGGAGATCTTATATGAAATTCTTTTTCTTGTACGTGAAAAAAAAATTTGCTAGGGGATCTTATTTACACTTCATATTAAATGTATATTTTAATATTTAATGTGAAGTGACTTGCAAAATATTTTTAATGTAATAGGATATATTTTAATATGTGTATTTATAATGTGAGGTGAACTTATAAACTCTTTTATGTTTATTAAGTGCATTAAAATTGTGGGATGATCTTATTATACTTCGCCTCGAGGATTTTTTCATTCCATTTATATAGTACAAATTCTGAGGTCTGGATTCTTTGGGGCTTCGGAAATTTGGGATTTTTCCAGGTATTATATCATCTGCTTCAATCTTGTAAGATGACATGAAAAAATTATTAAATTAAAAATATGAAATAATGATTTATAAAATAATGAAGCATGAGTAAGTTAAAATTTACAAAAGGAAGAAAATGAGTATATATTTGTTTGCTTTAACATTTGCTATTAAACATTTTGCATTTACATGTTATCCTGTTGTCCATGGAACTATAACAAAGTATCGTGATTTATCACCAGTTATGGATAAGTGTGACATGGCAACACGCTCATGACGTTTGCGCTTTCGTTTGATGTAACCCCAACTGATTCTTGTTAGCCTAACTTTTGTTTTTATGAACAAGGATATAAATTAACTGTTATTGATATATTTTTCTCTTGCATGGATAAATGTAATTTCTTGTCCAAAAAGTTGCAGTATTTAAGTCTTGCAGTTGCCACTTCAAGAATTCCCACTAAATCGTTAGTCAACATTTTTTCATTTGTAAAAACTTCTCTGTTGCTTTGTTACCATGCTGTTTGCAATTACTAATATTTAAAAAAAAAAAAAAAAATTCAGACATCACTGCATGAGTCATTTCTCATCTAGTCATTTATAAGATCATTCTAGATGAGAGGTTCGGATTTTGATCATTTTGGGTATTGGATGTCTGGATTTCAGACTTAGTACTGTGTTTTAATGGTCAGTGTGAGGTACACCGAATCAAAAAGAAGGAAGTGATCAATTCTATTTCTCTCGCTTTACTGAGCCAGTTGATAAAATTGATAAAGTTTTTTGTGTCTCAATGCAACTTAGGATATATATTAGATTTATATGCAGCATTGTTCTAACATTTTTGGCATAAAATTAGACTTTTTCTGAAATGATATACCTTTTTTACTTCCTTGTACAAAGTAAAAAGGAAGTATTGTAATCGCAAAAAGTTTCAGGCAGCATATTTCAACGAAAATATCCATTTTGACCACTATCGAATGCAATTTAATGATGTTTTTGAGTGATATCTGTACGTAAGGACAGAATAAAATACTCTTTTCCTTCAAAAAAATTAGAAAAACTGCTTTAAAATTAATTCTGAAGAGAATTTTTCATGGCGTCTGTACGAACGTATGTACGTACGCATAACTCAAAAACTAGTAGCCTTAGAATGTTGAAATTTTGTATATAGGACTGCTATAACATGTAGATGTGCACCTCGTATATTGGTTGCAATCGGCCACACCAAGCGTATATAAATATATATATATATATATCCACTCTGTTACCCGGCTCAGTGATCTCAGTTTCTTTACTCTTATATGTTTGTAAATTGTACATTTTTTGCTTTAAAAATGATTGAATTATGTTGTTCTTATCTTCCGGTTAAGGTTTTTATGCCTTTAGTAAATCTGTGTGCAATATTTTTAGAATTATCAACAATTTTAAAGTTGTTTAAGTGCCGCTAAGCCTTTTTTTTATGGCGGCCATTGATGTTTACATTTGAAACAGGAGACTAGTGGATTTGTTGCCAATCTAGAGAAACTTAGCTTCGCAACAACAAAGATAACGCCTTCATTTATTATTACCAATTAAATCATGCTTAATCCTTTCTGGAATTTTTTTCGAGGAAAAATAAGTGTTTAAGATTTACTTCGTAATTTTTAATATAGATATTTTGAGTTTTTATGTATTTTTGCCTTCTCGCGAAGTGAGAACTGAATTAATTAAATGAGAAATACTCAATCGTCTGTGAAAAAAACTGTTTCTTTTTTGTTTTGTTTGCTTAATTTCTTTTACATCATTCTAGCTTTATTGTAGTATTTGAATAGAACATGTGGCAACGATTAGATAATTCTATTCTTTAAATGATATAAATTTTAATGCATTGTTATAAATTTTGAGTTATAATATGAACGAAATTTAAGTTAACTCTTATATAATTATTGGATTATATAACAGTTAACTTAGTTTCTGTTATATAATTATTATATAAGTTAACTGTTATATAATTATTAATACTGTTAAGTGAATCTAGCGCCAGAATGTCGCTATGGTAAACAAATACTAGAGTAAATTTTAAAGAATGCATTTATTCTTTTGTGGTTTATGCTCTGTCGGCGAAGTAGATTTAATTCAATCCAATAAGTTTAAATGAAATGCGAGAAAAAATGCGTATAATTTAATATTCTGTACAAGAAAGTCATGTGGTGTACACATCAGATTTTTTTTTTCATATTTTAATCCTATGCTTCAAATTATGCCAAAGTTCCAAGTTTAAAAAAAAATAGCCCAAGTAGTTTTTAAAAACTTAGGTCTTAAAATTTTAGCTCTTCAAATGTTTATTAAATTCATAGACTCCAACTACTACGGATTCTCCATAGTTTCTACGGAAATTCATGAAAAACTACGAGCTACGAAAAGTATGGAAAAAACTACGGATTTTACAGAAACAAGAGCAGGAGAACCAGTACGCAAAACGGAACCAACTAATTCATCCAATGATTGGCTGAATACTCGTGTTATCATATATCACGTGTTGAGTGCGTTCCTAGTTTTGAAGAATTAGCCAATCGTAGATCAGTAACTCCAACCGTTAACGACTTATCAATAGTTCCACCCAATTGTCTGTCTCCCAGGTTCCTCGCTGATGCGTGTTTAGGCTGCATTCGGCTGCATTGTGTAGTTTACGGCGAGAGCTTAGCATGTGTCTTGTGAACTGTGAATCAGGTGTGAAGATTTTTAATCATAATGCTTGCCTCGAACGAAGAAGAAGAAGCCAAAATTATCAAAGCAGAAGTTTAAAGATTCATATCTTCAGAATTTCCATGCATTAAAGCGTCCGAAATTTCTGTGAATCACGCACACTGCAGTGTATGCAACAAAGACTTCTCAGTTGCTCATGGTGGAAAAGATGACTGTAAACGGCATGTGTTTTCTCAAAAGCATATAGAACTTGGCACCGTAAAATCTAAAGAAATAACAAATTTCTTAATAAAAGATGATGAAAACAGATCCTATAAAAAGCCGAATGCTATTTTGTTCGTTTTTTAATTGAACATAATCTACTGCTTCTGTTTCAGATCATTCCAAAGAGCTTTTCCAAGCAATGTTTCCGGATTCTGCCATAGCAAAAAAATTTAGCTGCGGTCATACCAAAACTGCTGCTATTGTGAAAACGCTTGCAGAAAATACTGTTGCTGATATTATAAAATCAGTGTGCAGTACATCATTTTCTCTAAGTACTGATGGAAGTAATGATAACAATGATAACAAACTGTACCCATTGGTTATAACATACTACAGTAAAGAAAAGGGAGTGATAATTACTTCATTGATTTCTATTTTAGAATGCACGAATAATACAGGAGAAGGTATTTTTAATTGTATAAATGAAAACTTTTAAAAACAAAGGTTTAGAATGGAAAAATTGCTTATCATTTTCTTCAGATAATGCTAGTAATATGATTGGAAAGTTTAAAGGTGTTGTAGCATCATTTATCAAAATGCATCAACCAAGTATAATCACCCGAGGTTGTCCGTGCCACCTCTTGCATATAGCTGCAAAAAAAAGCTACTGAAAAATTAATTGGCTCAGAAATTGAAATGTTGATAATAGATATATATTTTTACTTGGAGAAAAAGTTCGAAAACGGAAGCATAGCTTCAAAGTTGCTCAACAAAATTTTGGGACAGAATGCAAAATCTCATAAAATTTTGAATATTGCAGTACGAGATGGTTGTCTCTTTTAGAATCTATAACAAGGATTTTGGAACCAGTGGGATGCTGTGATAAATTTTTTTGGAGATAACCAGATAACAGTGAGAATGAAGGAAAGAGATTGCAAAACATTAAAAAAAATTTTACAGTCACCGACCACCAAATTGTACTTGTTATTTTGAAAATACTTTGCCTTGTTTATAACAGTAAATATTAATTTGCAACAACCAAGCTCCTTATATACATAAATTGAGAAGAGAACTTCTTGAACTTTTAATGAATTTATTTGTTAGATTCGTAAAACCATCAGGTAATTTCTAAAGAAAATGAAAGATGTTACTCTAACATCTATTCCATTTCAGAAAGTATAGTAACAAAAAGAAAAATGAAAACTTTAGTGATTGGTGCGGAAACAAGACTTATATTTAAAAAATGCCAAGTTGAATGAAAGGTGAAGTGAAATTGCATTTTTCAATTCTGTGCGAGCTTTTTTTGTAACTGTATGTTCAATATACAATAGATAAATTTCCACTGAAGTGATCCATTTCTAAAACATGCTGAAGTTGCTGACATCAACTTGAGAACTGAAGTCTCATTTTCATCTGTTCTTTACTTGATGAATACTTTTCCATCCATTATTGATGAAAAATGTCTTAATCAAGTAGAAATTGAATTTTCCATGTATCAAGTAGATGATTTGAAAGAAATTGTAGATTTGCGTATTTATATAGCATGGGGAGAAATTGCCAAATTAAAAAAATATGA